CATATTTTTGGAGTACACTTGAGAGTTCTGAAAACCTTTTGTGATTGCTGCACATTTGGTTTATTTGATCGTTGTATCCTGGAGGTGATTGTCCACAGAGGTCGCAGTAATTATCGACGGGCAATTTCGCTTTAAGACATCGTCCTGTCACGAGACTCGATCTTGTGGTATAGTTGTAATATCCCGAATTTTTATGTTTGAATATTTGTTTGTGATATTTTATCATGCCTAGAATACGATTTCATAATTGTTATTAATGCGAGGTATGGTCATGAGTTGCTAGAAAATTATTTGGGCTAGTTTAGTAATTTTCAAATGTTTAGGAGCCGAACTACAAATTCACTTGCAGTGACCTAGTGTGACTATTTAACTTACAACTGTATTGGTTAGAAATGTAATTGTTTAAAAATGTGAATTGTGACCAGTGTCGTGGGGATACAAATGCTAAAATTTCAATTCCATGTCACTCAGTGCAGTGTGTGACCTAATGTTAGTTAGTATTTACATTAAAAATTGAATGTCAGCATTATATATATATATATATTCATTTTTTTTAATTCAAATTTGCGACGGAAAAATTGTATTAGCTACAATTTTGTCTGTCGCTAAACACCGACGGAATATTTCGTTGTTAATTACCAACGGAGTATTTCGTCGCTAATTACCAACGACAAAGAGTTTCGTCGGTAAAATTACCGGCGGGCATTTTACCGACGGATTTTATCGACGAATAAAATCCGTTTGTGAAAGTCTTTAGCAACGGAATTTAATTGATACGAAAATCTTGACAATTCGTAATATTTTATAAAGTTTAAGTTTCATGATAAATTAACATTATCAACACGTCCGTAAATTCTTGTTAAACCATGTCAAAATCGAGGACAGGCAGCATGAGGTCCACATTCATTCGAAAATTGATCCCAGCAAGGTTTTGCCTGTCCATAACGTCGAAAAGTGGGGCTTGAGGTGCCAACTTGTCATCCATGCGGCAGAAGACGAAGTCGTATATCGGATTATGCTCATCCAAGTATGCGTTTACTGCTGTTCCTTCAACTGCCCTATTTAATTGACACTACATCATGATCGCATGTTCAATCACTACGCCAAAAATGAGCTTTTACAACACATAAAAGGCAACATTTGATAGTTAAGTGTTGCTAAAGGGGCCTATCACAACATTTTAATAAGTGAATGTTGCTATTGATTAATATAATTAAGTTTTAGCAACATTTTATAAATAAATGTTGCAAAAAGTGCC